TTTTTAAAAAATTTGACCTTTTTCTTGAATATATGCTTATAAAAAGAAGTTCTTATTTATATACTTTAAATTTTCAAAAAAATAGTTATTTCACATAAAATCCAATTTGGTTGTGCTCCTTTTAATAATTTATAAAATTTATGAAATGTACTTTATTAAAATGGTAAAAGAGTACATTATTTTTAGTAAAACAATATTGTTTATTTTGAAAAAAGTAAAAAGTGTAATGTATGATTTTAGCAATTTATGATTTTTTACAGTGTGTGAGTTAAAATTATGGTTCATTGTGCTCCCTTGGAAGCATGTTGTATTTACAATCCTTCATGAAGTAAATGTAATAGCGTTTATGGATTTAAAAGAAATTTTAGACATGTATTTTTTTCTAAAAAAACCGAAGAAATTTTACACATGTCTGAATGTATGAGAACTTCAAAATAAAAATGTTAAAAATTATTTAAAAAAAATAAGATGAAATTTTAAGTTGAGGGATTATATAATATGTGAGTGGGGGTTAGTGACACATGTGAGATACAAAGAACGTGACATATTTCTTGTGTAACAGGTGTGCACTACCTCTTTCGTGTTTATATATACTAGCATAGTCTCTGCAAGTTGACTTGAATTCTTTTAAGGCAAATTAGAATATTTTTAATAAGATATAATTTGTATACCAACTTTAAGTAAAGTCGTTTAGAGTAGTGAAATGCTTTATGTTTGTCATGGCGATGTGTTGCGTTGCCATATCAAATTGTTTGATGGGCGTATATATCAACGCTAATACCTAGTGAAAAGCAATAGTGAAATTTTCTATTATAAGAACGAGTGAGAATAATCCATGTAACTTACATTGAATTAGAACAAATGAAACTTAAAAACTAAAATTTTATGATTTGACTGATAAATTAATATTATACTTATAAAGGTAAAAATAATTGATTAAGATTCAAAGTTAATATTCAATTAATATTAATATGAAGTGAACTACTATTTAAAACAATGAAACATGTCTTTTTCGTAGTGACATTACATTGTACTACCCGCTCAACTTATGTTAAAATCTCAATTAAACTATTGCCTAGATCAATTCATCGTTTTTGTGGTGCCATTATTTTGTACTATCCACAAATTTTTAAAGAAATTAACATAAATATAGAATTTATTTAAAAGTTTATATAGTGCCGAGGCTTTAAACAAGCAAATTAAAACCCACCTCAAAATTTCCTTCAAGAGGTTGTTTTGATGTTCAAATATCCTCAAATTAAACTATTGCCTAGAGCAATGTGTTGCTTTTGTAGTGCCATTATTCCCTACAACCCACAAATTTTTAAATAAATTAACATAATTATAAAATTTATTTAAACTGGACATTATTTTATAAAAAAGTTTATATAGAACCAATGCTCTAAACAATCAAATTAGAGCCCACATCAAAATTAGAGCCCTCAAAATTTCACTACAAGAGGTTGTTTTGATCTTCAAATATCCTCAAATTGATCATCTTGACATCTAAGTCCATGGACATGGAAAAAAAAATATCCTCAAATTTATCATCTTGACATCTAGGTGCAGGGACATGAAAAAAAACAAAAGATTTCAAGTTTTGGAAACAGTGAATCTTATAACGCATTTTTTGACAGTCAATTTTCAAGATTTTCATAGATCTGCTCAATCTAAGCTATTTTTGAAGCTTTAACTTTTACAACTAGAAACAAACATTTCTCGACTTTATTTGAAGGTTATCACAAAGATTTCCAATAGAGACGAACATTTCTCGACTATAAAATTTGTCTCCATAAAATTTTATAATTAGAGACAATTTTTTTAATAAAGTTATCACAAAGATTTTCAATAGTGAAACCACATTTCTCGACTCTATTTGAAGGTGCACTTTACTTTGGTTGTTTAGAGCTTCAGCCTTATACAAAACCGCACCCTTTATTTCAAATTTTTTTTTTGATTAAAGAGTTTAAATGGACATGTTTGCTGGATTGCCTGGAATTTAAATAATGGAATGGTAAACGTTGAATATTTAGGCCTTTTAAACCGTAGTTAGAATTTTAGGGACTAAAACATCTTGGTGAACAAAAAATCAGTTTCATTTAAAAAAGTTAGAGGAAAAAAACTGGGTCAAATATACAGAGAAGGTAAATTAAATCATAAACATTTCAAATTTGGCTAAAAAAAAAAATAGAGTGAAAAAAACCGAATATGTAAAAATGACATAATATAGGATTATGATTTACAGTTACTGAATAGATATATTAAAGCCATGAACAATAATTTTATGGCCTTAATTAGAGTAATACTTGACAAGGTATTGCCTAAATTTTAATAAATTTAACATCCAAAATGCTACGTTGCATATACCAATAAATAAAAAATAAAAACAAAAATATGAGATTAATCAAACTTCTCTATCCATAAAAGAAGCAACAACATATATGCTTACGAAATTCCACTTCCATACTAAATTTTGAGTAGCATAAATATTTAGGGCATGTTTGATTTACGTGGAAATATTCTCCAGATAATATTTTCATGTGAAAAAATTCTCCCTTACAGTTATGTGTAAAAATATTTTCACACTAATTAGCTGCAAATTAATGTGAAAAGATGCACTAAGAGCAATTGATGTGAAAATATTCCCATACTTAACCACGAACGTCTTTAAAGTGAAAATATTTCCCAAAAATTATTTTCATAAGAATCAAACATGTCCATAGTATCATTGAATCTCTCACTTGCCCTTTATAAGGGTGCTCCAAGTTTAAAGAAATTTTTTTTCTTATTTACTCTTCTCCTAACTTTGCCTATTATTTTGAGATATACGATTGTTTTAATAACTTACTTTTTGGAGAATATGTTGCATATATATGTTTTATATATCGTTAATCAAGATTCTTGATTTACTCCCACAATTAATGTGCTTATCTATAAACTAAAATTCAATAATATTAAGTTAATGAAGAAATTAAGTTATAGGGAAGAAGATTTTTCGAAAAGTTTTTTGAAAACAAATAAAATACGGATTTACATTGGTCTTATTATATATAAAAAAAGTGATTTCTTAAATTTTTTTTGAGAAACTCGGAGTTCTTAATGGATTTCAAAAAATAAAAGATTTTTTTGCAAAAAAGCGTGTTTTCAACATAGTTGCTAGCTATGTTCTAAACATGGGGGTCATTATTGCTTGAGCTTCTAGTATTTCTACTTACATCAAGGTGGTTTGGGCTGTAAGCTAAAATGTCTTTTTGAAACTCATAACCAAACGAAATTGTATACTTAAAGACCATTATTTTAGTTATAAAAAAGTTACAATTACTCCCAACCATTAGATGTCAAATTAAATGGCTTGTGTATGACACAAAGTTCAAAAAATTTCTTTGAACTTTGAGTCTAGTCAATGACACTCTTACAACAACCCGATTTGAAATCTAACAGACAAGAATGATTATGACCACCTTGTACCAAAAATGAAGGTCTCTTTATATATTTTTCCTTACAATATACCTCCACTAGTAAAAAAACGGTTGGGTATCTTTGGTAACAGGATTGCAATCACTTCTACCTTATCAAAGGGTTGAGATTTGGCTGTATCGTTTGTACTCTATGCACAGGTGCATGTCATTGCAGCTAAGGATGACTCTCCCAAACTTCACTTGCAAAACCATCCCATTAAACAGGTACTTCCAAGAACAAATAGAAAATGTAATGCCTCATGGGGCTCATCATCCACAAGCAAGGAAGGCTACACATCTTTCTTGCAATAGTCGGATTACATATTATAATAATAATAATAATAATAATGATAATGATAATGATAATGATAATGATAATGATAATGATAATAATAATAATAATAATAATAATAATAATAATAGAATTAAATCCTTTTATTCTTTTATTTTTTATATTTTATCAGAGAATACAATAGCATTAACTAAATTAGGAATATGTGAGAAAAATGAAATGAATGCACATACACTACTTGTTCTCTGAGGTCCATGGAAAAATCTCAAGCATATTCAAATATGGCACCTGTATGATTGAACCCACAAGATACATGTAATGCCTTGGCATTTTTCATGAAGTCCACTCTCGTCGGTTCAAAGTAATCAAAATCGTTTCCATGTCCCTGCCAATAGGAGGCAATCAATTGATATTATAACTGGCGCACAAGAAGGTTAAAACTATAGCCAGTGAACCAATAATGTTGCTTCTAGACCAAAATTCACACGAATAAAAATGAAGCAGCTTCTACAGAACCTTCAATATTTTGCAAATTACTAATGATAAAGATAAAGAGCATATGATCACTACAGAATAAGAAAATCGTCTCGATCAAGCTTAAAATTTACTGGCTAAACAGATTTTTGGTCTAACTGTGGGGCACTGGGTTTGAACAATAGCAGTCTACGGTATGAATCTCGTAGTAGAAATCGAGGTTACCAAAAAACAAAAACCCTCCAATTTCCTTCCTGTTTGGCATAAGTCATAATAGATAATTGTCACCATTTGGCTGGGAAAATGGTTCTGTACCTTATCTGTATCATCAGACAGGTGCTGATACAGCGCACTTGCATGTAACTCGGGTTTATGAACTTTGGGGTTGTTTTAGTATATTTTTGCATGGCACAACACTGGGAGTCAAGTGTGTCTGTATACGACATGCATTGTGTATGTAAGACACTGACGTCTAAACCATAAACACAGGTGTCTCAGAGACGTGTGTGTCCCAATCGTGAGACAGATGTTTAAGTTGGGAGACACATGTCTTTGGACAATAGCAGACATCTCAGCTGTAACACACATAGTCTCAGTTGTAATCTAGAGTTTAAATGTAATTTTTTAAATAATAGCAGTTTATAAACCAAATTCTGCTCTTCTTCATTTTGTTACTACTAATAAATAATTCTTATTTAGTAATACGTAAGTGATAACATATTTTACATTCCATTCGTAGAAAAGAAAGAAAGCAAATTAGTAATTTCCGCGCAAAGTTCACTAAATTTAATTGGAACAACCTAGGCGTAGAGCTGTTGGCCACCCGACAAATTTAGAGGAGTCTTTTAGTCCATCTGAAATCCCCGAGATCTGTATCCTTCAAGCAGCCCATCTCTCCTACAAGATTTTGACTAGCCATGAATTTCAGAATAAAGAAGTAAATCCAAATACAGGCCACGATCCGCCACAAGAGGGAGTTTGGGGGGATATGTTACAGACAGTAATCCACATTCTCTGGATCAAAAACAAGGGGATTAGCAACCGATGGTCTACAAAATGCTGAAATAGAAAAGCCAATTCAAATTTTGGTTGATGAAGTCTCACACCCCAAAATATCAAAGCCGATGAAATTCACACAATTTCCACATTTAGTGGGAGTCAGAAGAGGCCCACCAAGAGCCAATTAGAATTTGCCAGCTCACACCACATCATAACTTCCTGCCACTGCAGCAATCTAATATCTCGCCCAGGGCCTTCTGGTTCCCCAAACTACCCCAGATAGATCCCTGCAACAAATTCAAATTTTCAAATTTCAAATGTCAAATGCACCAACTCTCCTAGATGTATTTTCTAGAAACATCCAAGAACCGCATCAGTTCTACATTTATGTAGCAAAATCATCTACTCGCACTGCTATTGATGCCAATCCTGGCCCAAGACAAACCTCTGCACCTGGGAACTCTACTTTTCTCACTCAATCCTCACAGAACCCCACCCGATGGATAGCATGGCTGCATCAGAAGTGTTCGATCCCCTATCCCCTAAAAATTCATCTGACGGTCGGGCTTGTGCACTGAACCTCCCACCTACCCTGGATCCCCAAATACGCATCCTTCAAATAGCACCATATACAACGTTTGTTACTTACCCCAAAAAAATCATATACTAAGTTTGTCCTTGGAGTGATGAATGAATCCTTTGAATCCGGTACCAACAGTTATCAACCCCCCAAAAGAACATTCTCTTTCAGGCCTTTCAATCAAATTCAAATGCAGAAGGCAAATGAATGGCCTCAAAAGGTCACAATGCGGTGCCTGCCCCTCAAAACAGTTGTCCATCAACCAAGCCCAGATCTGCGGTCCAGATGCAGCCTCCACACCGGCTTAACTCAAAACCAAGGCCCCCAATCCAACGGATCTCAAGGAATCTCCATTGTTGCATACCCATCCCAAGGTGTTGAAGACAACCATGCGGCTCCCCGCTTGCTCCCCTTCTACAGACTACCATCTCTGAACACCAGGATATTGTAATCCAAGAGGTACACATCAGAACCATCTAACTGTAGAGATAATCCCATGGTGGAGAACCCCATGTGTCCAGGAGCTGACTCCTTGAGCCCCCTTGTTTCTATGCAACCGTCCTCCAAAACCCTCTTTTACCCCATAAGGATCCACCACTGAACAGCACACTCCTAACTGCCAACCCTAGATCCAACAGTTAGTACAATCCCCCCTTGCCACCCTCAAATACCCTCTAATCACTTATTGAGTGTCCCGTGTTGTCCGTGAAGATCCCCACCCTGCCTAGCACATCAGCAGGATCAAGATTTCAGAGGGCAACACATCAGGTGGTGGTCCCTCCTTCTGGGCCTTACAAGCTCTGTGTAACCCTAGAAGCCAATCCTGGACCAACCCTGCCCTTCCTTTCAAGTGAAAGCAGCATCTTGTTCTTACAACCTGCCGCTTTGAAAATGTGCTCCGCTACACTTTGGTGCTCCAACTAGTCCCTTTTCAGCCACACCACCTTATTTGGACCAAGCTCCCACTCCTCTCTCTCTCTCTCTCCTCTCCTCTCTCTCTCTCTCTCTCTCTCTCTCTCTCTCTCGTACGTCTACGTACGTACTACGTACGTACGTACGTACGTACGTACGTACGTACGT